GGATGCCCGTGGCAAACACAATGTAGTCAACGGGTGGAAGACTAACTTGCGACGACGATGTCTCACACGACCAAGTCTTGAAACAAGGGTCCCAAGATACCGATGCGAGCGTTGTGTGCGTGTGTAGAGCAATCTTATCATTAGCAATGTGCGTGTCGAGAATTCGACGGTACCGCGGTGTCATGCTGCCACCGTTTCGGGCGACATTGATCATTTCCCATCGTTCTAGGAAAAAGAAAAGAGTCATGTTAGCCTCGCAACTCGCATACAAAGAGGAGTCGGATGCGTACCTTCGTCTGTATCCGCGGTCCAAAACGCAGCTTGGTTGAAGTTCCGGAATTTGCCGACCCAATCCAGGTCCATGTCAAAGTACTTTACCTTGAGCGGTCCACGCATCAGCATCCAAACTTTATTCACACCTCGCTTGAGCGCGAGGTCGGCTAGCTGAATACTCGTCAGGCCGCCCCCAACGATAAGCAGGCTGGTGCTTTGCCGAGCCTGGATCTTGGCGACAACGTGTGGCGCAGGGAACTGCTTGATCTGCATGGCGTGGGAGAAACCTTCGTGTGGTTCACTGGGTAGGCCGGGCACAGGGGGTAGCGATGGGGCGTTCCCAGGGCCAATGGCTAGTATGACTACGTGAGCGAAGCGGACGCCTTTGTCAGTTGCCACGCGAAATGTCATCCAGTCGTCTTCGGAACCATCATCCGATATAACGCTATCGTGCTCAGCATCCGCGAACTTTGCTATCTCTCCGTATTCGATATCGGTTACGCTTTCTTGGCGGATCATATCGCTGCCAAGGTGATACCGCCGCACTACCTCGTCGCAGTGCGCATGGAACAAATCCGTCTTTGGCGTAAAGTAGTCTTTTCGATCTCTCTCGTCCACGTCGGGCGTCCCACCGAGAAACCTTCCCTGCTTCAGCTTCTTCTTCTTCTTATGCTTGCTGACTTCCTTGCCCGCGATGTTAGGCAGAGCCATAATGTCCTTGCCCCTTTCTTCTTCGTACGTATATGCGAGCAGCCCGTCTCGGTCAGCGGGATCGACGTGGAAGAACATTGGGCTGCGAAGGTAGTCAATGTGGAATGTTTTGAAGAGTCGCTTCCACTTGGACATCCACTCTGCTCCATCAGCATCGAGAACTAGCATGTCTATTGCTTCTTCGGACGATTCCTGATGCTTGCATCCGCAGTCCGAGCTAGATGGGGTTGGGGGCGGTGTTGGCAACGAGTCCTTGTTTTTCCGATAGTTCTTGATGTTCATCTTTTGGCCGTGTTTCTTGATCCAGTGGTATCTCTGGTGTTCATCATCGGTAAATGTAGCTGATGGTGTGCGTTCGCGGAGACGAGCTGCAGCGGCTAGACCAGCTGGACCAGCGCCGACAATCAGAACGTCGTGGATGCGCATAATGGTAATCTAGGTTTCCAACGACCATATAATATGTAGTGATGCAAAAGGAGAGGCTTTGTGAAATATTAAAGAACTCTCCGGGCTCATGTATCGCGTGAGTACCTGTGTACCGTGATGGCTAGGTTTCCCCATCAGGCACGCCCATCACGGTGCTCCAAGGGCAAGCACGAGGCAATGACAAAGACAAGAGACTACCAAATAACAGGCCAGGGAGATCTTTAGTCTTCCAAGGGGGCCTGGAGTTCTTGGCTTGTTCGTGGCCTGGCTGCAATTTGAGGTCAATACAAGACTGGGCGAAAAGAAGATGTAAATAAGAATAGTTTTTTGTTAATAAGTTCATGACATCATTCAAACAGGGTGAAATATTTCCGGACTCTTATTTCTGTCCTCCATGCTGCGAGAGGTTCGCCAGCTCCCAGGACCGCTCACGCTGGACGCCCGATGCGACTGCGCGTCTTCCATCTCAATGGCGCTTGTGATGAACTCGGGGTCGCGTTCCTCTTTTTGCTTGCCTAAGCCACCATTTATGTCCTCTTGGCTCTCTGTCTTCCGGAAAACGTCCCTGAACCCTCGGGGTATCTGTTGCGGCGTCGGCTCAGACCAAGAGGCGTCGGGACGGCGTACCGAGGGCGGCTGTGGCTGGGTGGTGGAGCGACCGTAAGCATTCGCGGAATCATACGTGTTAGAGCTCCAGTTACGAAGACCGAAGACGCGTTGGATGAGTGGGTAGGTCAGTGGAAGGTTTGCACAGAGAATGGCAGTGTACGACTCTCGCAAGTACCAAATTGTCCACTCATTTCCAAAAGGGTGTGTGAAGGAGTAGTACTTGTTGAGGGCAGCAGCAACAATGGTAAAAGTTCCAATGCAAAAGATCAGGCCCAATATGATCTTGTTCTTCTTTGGCAAGCGCACTTTGAACAGAAGCGGCATGGGTATGCTGATTATGATTAAATCGCTGGAAATGTTGAACACGGCATTTGTGATAAGGTGGTTCGTTGCGGCCGAGCATTGTTCTGCGATAATAAGCGCCATACAACAGAGTGCTTGCAATGTGCTTACTTGAGTTTGGAGGGACTGCCCAGTACTGGTTGAACGGCCTGCACCACACACCGAGGTATAGCACCTCCATGACAACAAACGATACGGCGACGTAAATGGAAGTGGCAACTACAATCTTGTGCTGCGGCAAGACGAGAGTCATGCGATTGTACATGATGAGGAGGCAGGCTTTGATGAGCCAGATTGTGAGGATCTGCATTTGTTCTACCACCAAGACTAGCTTGGAGCCATAAACACGAGTATTGACCTCGGCTTGAGTATACTGCGAAATATCGTCATCAGGCGGTATCAGGTTACTGCTGGTTCTGGCGACCTGGTGCATGATGCTGATGAGCACCGTATCCGTGGCCTGGTTGTAGTTCAGCATCTCTAGTCGCTCAGCTCAGTAGCGCGGGGGACATACCATGGCAACCAGAATCAAGTAGTCGTCGAGCTGTAAAGACTTCCATGATCCAAGATGCAGCCTTCGTGAAATCAGGCGGACAATGACGACGAGCCAGCATATGCCATAGAAGATTCCGGCCTCTGGCTGGAGGATGGATACCGACATGGGGCGCGAGATGGCGTCGCCAAAGCGCCGAAGTTGTCGCGGGCGCTGCAATCTGAGCCAGGGGAGTGCGTAGGGCTAGCCGCGCGGCGCAAATCGCTCTGGGCACTCGACTTGGATCGATGGGAACGAGTGGGTATGTCTGGTATGTATGCTGCAGATGTTGTAGTGAAATCAGGAACTGGGTGGCGAAAGTCGCCACGAAGCGTTGGGAATGTCAGCCGTGGGTGGTGCACCAAGGGCTAGGTCAGCAAACTGTGCACTATCTCTCGACCGGTATATGATATCAGTATGCAATCAGCGCTACTCGTTGACATGGGATTCTCTGCGATGATGAGGAAATGGATTTGAAGGTGCTCTCGGAAGTTGCCTGGGGAAGTGTCGCTCTGGGGTAGGGTATCGGTATGGGCTTGTCGCTCTCGAAATCTGGGGGAGTGGGCGCGGTGTCCTGAGTCGAAGAGATGGATGGATGGATGCAGTTGGCAAGGGATCGCTTAGAGATGGAAGTCCCCCCGGACCCAAAAAGCCATGTGCTAAAGCACCGAACGAGTTGCAAGGGCCAGATTCGGTAGAGATGTGTGCTTGGGATGATCTGCACGAGGGGCCCGAGTCCGAGGCGGATGTTCACCGTTGGCACCAATGGGACCGACGACAGTGGCGCAAGTCTGACAGCCTCGACCCAAAACTGAGGTCACCCACAACGGATGAGGGCGGGGGAGCGGTCAACCCTAAATACAGCGTAACTGGATAATCCACGAGGAGCAAGGTCAAATACAAAATTGAATGTGCAGTGATGGAGGTACTGATGATGATGGTGGTGCTTCTTCGGTGGTTCATGCGGCACTGCCTCGGTGGATCCTCGAAAAGGCAATGCAGGGCCCAGGTGTGGTCAAAAACAGTCGAGGATGCGGACTTGTGGTATGTATGTATGGGGGTGAAGGCATCCCACCCCCGTGTTTATCTGGTGGCGTGTATCCTTGACTCGACGAGAGACGTTGGGGGAAGCTTTGGCGACGGCGTCTAGCTGTGACGAGGGCAGCTCACGGTTCAGACGGCACTGCCATCTGTCGCCAGAAGACGGCCCGCGGCCGTAAGCGGAAGTAGCGCGGCGCCACCGAGCTGAGCAGCTCTTGCCTATGGCCTAGTGAAATCGCATGAACAGAGCGCCAGACCACTGCTACCCCAATCACCCTCTCCAAAACATGACAGACTCCATGCTCGACATCGCTTACGACTCGCGTTGCCATCAGATAATAACGCAGTTCCACTTATATTGCGCCCTCCCGCTTCATTCTCTCACATGCTGCTCGCTTAACAAGTCTACCACATAGCACTCCTCGGACACCCACTGTCAGTGACATCCCCTACTATTTCTCTCCGCATCCTCGGCTCCCGCACACAATTGAAGGAAAATAAAATTACTAGCCAATTGCATATGACTGCACTCGACTCGAACGTGTTATAGCCTATTCACACGTCTGACGTCAGCACAGTTCCCATGCTGTTCGAAATTTCTCGTGTGTGTGCAACGAAGAACCCTTAGGCCTCCAATGCACCGCGCTAAAACCACCTCCAATCCATCATCGGTAAGACTACCTGATTTCTATACTTATCCCGACGCCCGCCACAAGTCGGGTTTGGGCTGCAGGCGAGAGGCGACTGCCGTGATACCGGATCAATTGCCATTCGAAGGGCCAGCCGTAGCCCTTTGTCAGTACCTGAGCCTTGCAGTAGCGCAGCTGCGAGGGGAGATCGGTCCCAATCATACGTCTTCCATTCTTCCAGAAGGTGGTGTATAAACTTTGGTGCCTGAAACCAAATCGGAGCCATCCTTCCTACCCACGGAGAAATCGTCCACCTATCAACATCTTCATACTTGATGCACCTGCTATTGCACTTGACTAACAAAAACATGGTTTGGAAATTGCAGAAATTCTCTTGCTATCTGTCAAACACAACATTGCTATGCATGGACCCAGTCCTACCCTCCGTAACCTAAGCCTTTCCAGAAGGTCTCAATTTCTGGTGACACGTCTCTCTGAACCCTATGCCCCTCCCAGACATCCCCGCTCTGATCCAACATGCTCTTCCAATCTCGTATTGCTTGATCCTTCCTGTTGTGCCCCGCAAAATGCACCAAGTAATCGCCTCTCCTGGCCTGGAACTGCTTCAACCCCTCCTCATCCTCTCGATCCTCAAACAATTGTGCTGCACCCCCTTCGTATGCATTAAACCAATGCTGGGGTACATATCTTGTTTTATCCCTGAACTGTTCTGTACGGAGAACCTGTTCCATGGCGGATTGCTCGGTAAATGGGAGGTCAACCTCAGGCCTGTAGTGCCGGAAAGCAAGGATAGCGGTGAAGAGCTCAATCGCCCAACTGTTCACGCGAAGAAGGAATACCCCATTGTTGAGACCGTTCCAGTCTTCAGTTACGAGTAAGTGTGTCGTATTTGCCTGGCCTTGTTGCTCTTCCTTCTGTCCGTCGTTACGACGCCACCACGAACCACGGCGTCCCTTCTCGGGCGGAAGGAAGCTTGAGATCGGCCGGCATTGGTCGAGAATGAGAGTATCACGGTCCACCCATTGAATCCATTCAAGACGTTCCTTCTCTGGTTTCATCATCTCGCGAAAGAGAAGGTCCAAGATATAGGCAGGCTTGTTCCACAGGTCGTCGACAATAGGGTCGCACATGACCCTAACTTCTGTTCCGTGGACCAAAGAGTGGAACAAATGTGTTTGAAACGCCATTTGGTAATGCTCCTTGCCCTCGCCAAAATGCGCCGTGACAATCCCGATGCGTGATCTCTCACTGGCAAAGGGTGAATACTTTCGACATTTTGCGCGCTTGAACGTTGCTGCTTGAATGAACTCGGGCGATACCTCTGGCAGACATTTCGAGTCACCATGGGCAAAAAACTGCGGGACTGATCGCGACGGTGGTCGTGAGTATGGAACTGAGAAACCTTCCGCTGATCCACGATACCAAAGGACGAACGGAGATCCGAGGATCAAAAGACATAACCAAACAAACAATTTACTTGTGAAAATTCCAGGAGATATAAACATCGCTGTGTTGTAAGGAAAACGGAAGACAATACACAAACCACTGGACAGTGACCGCTGAGTTTACAGCTGGTGTTGACCTAATATCATCTTCATGTGACGGCAGCCAGATTATAAAGAGACGATATACAAGCCACCAAAGGCCTCCCACCACGTTCCACAGACGACAAGCAACCAACGGTGACGAGTACTGCGACGTGGACTTCTTGGGCCCATTTCAGCCTCCGCTTCCAGCCGAGCCTTCGCGTCTCCTTATCATCGCAAAAGACAGCGACTCGGACATACTTGCATTGGCACACACAACTCAAGAGCTTGAGTAGGCTCGTGTGTAGTGTACAGAGTCCGACTGCCAATCTGCGCTGTGTTACCAATACTAGCTTCTCACATCTTGTGTCTAGCGTTCGGACTGGGCGTAAGCCTAACTGTGTAATTAAAGCTCGTCGGACTTTGCGCATCGGACTTTGATCATTATGAAATCGGGATCGAGCAGCCCACGACTGATAGTATATTTTCATCCAGGTAAGGCAACGGCGCCACTTGGTGCATGATCATGGTGGGTTGAAAGAGTGTCCTCTAGATTGAGACAATCAGGGCATCGTCGCAAAAGCTAGCGCCTCCGTCCGTAATAGGCCGAGAGGTATGTTAAGAGAGAACCCCTCGCCGCGGGTATGTTCGCTTGGCTTGCTGGACTATATTTCTCCATGAAAACTGTGCACATACCAGCGCCAAGGTTGTCATTGTTTGAAATGTCAAGTGTGAAGTAATTGGCAGCGGTAAGGACCAAGGCCACCAGTTTGCTCTCGGCCCAACTCCATCCCCCAACCCATTGATTACCTTACTCGTTGTTCAAGGTAAACCTTAGCGAACCCATCATGTTCGCGTATAGTGCCACCTAAAAATACACCCATAAAATATGCATTTGCGCACATGGCAATCGTTGCGGCGCCGAAAATCCCCACGTGCGTGCGGACTTGATGCACAGGCGCGCCTCCCACCAGCCGCGCTCGGCAAGCCGCGCAACATGCTACATACACGAAACATGACAATGCCCGCGCTTCGCCTCAGCCCCAACTATTAAACATGTAGTAAGACAGCTCACCCCTGCATTTCTCCAACAAGATACTCCTGGCGACGCCAAGAATTGGAATTGTATAAACAGGCATGATGTCCTGCATCGCTGCTTAGATCATGCAAGAGTGTACAGAATTGATAAGGGAAGAGCAACCAGGACCAATGAGGTATAAGGAAATAGTGGGAGTTCTGGTCCCCAATGGGGAAATCAAACCCGAATCTCCCTTACTGTATTAATCACTTGAATAAGTGGACATAACTAACGTTAAGGATCAGTCATCCGGCCAGATCAGTCATCCGGCCACCCCACCCAACTTGACCCAACGCTCTGCGCAATTGCTCTATAACAACGTAATAACACAAAACAAAATTAAGAGATATTATTCTTTATATAGATTTGC